GGGGGGGGGGGGGGTGAGGAAGCCCACCTCACCTGTAGAGGTACACGTGCATGCTGGGTGTCACCTGTGCCACAATATGCGTCAAAGAGAAGTCAGTCCTCTTTTTGTCTACGCATGGGCTCGTGTGTGTGCTGTGCGACGAAGCGTTCAGTACCACGGCCCACATGCGGACGTCGAACTTTCTCTCACGAATCAAGAGAGACCTCTCAATATACTTCTGCGCCACCTGCATGCATGAGACACATTCACATATATCAGAAGCCTACGTGTTTTTCCCTTGTTCCTGCCCCCCTCCTTCCATGAGCCACTTACCCATTCTGTAACAGGCTTAACGGGCGGCCGGACCTTGTAATACCCCCGCCTCCCCTGCTGAGACCCATTCTCGCCCTCACATGGAGTGCTCCAGTCCTTCTCGCCCCCCCCATTAGCACCATTCTCCTTCTCCCGCCCCCTGGCCGCGGCCAACCATGCCGATGAGGGTCGGCTGGGGCGTATCATGGCGAACGGGGGCGACACGACCTCACCCGTATTCGGGGACAGACCAGAGATGCTGTCATCCTCCCTCCCACGGCCCTTACCCCTCCCCCCTCGCGCACTCACAATGGCAGGGGAGGGCGGGCAGATATCTGGCGAGGCATTGCCAGCCGTCCCAGTGCTCTTGACTGTGTGCACGGTCGCCGAGCGGCTGAGTTTGGAAGGCAGGGCTGGAGGGGGAGGGGGAGGGGGAGGGGGAGGGAAAGGGGAAGGTGGGCGCGCAGGGAAGAGTACACTGGTAATCGTGGTCGGGGAGGTGGCCTCGAGTTGTCCCTGGTGTGCTTCTTGCTGCTGGGGCTCGCCATCAGATGACCGTGCGGCAGCAGCGTCTGATGTCTCCGTCTCTGCTGGGGGGGACTTGTCGTTGTTGTTGTTGGTCTGCTCGGTGCCCTTGGGTGTGTCAGGTGAGAGTGCTGCGGTTGGCGAGGGAGGAAAGGGTGTGAAGGGCGATCCTGCTGACAGGGTGTCCGCAGTGCTCATGGCCGTCAGGCTGGCAGGGGGACAGCCGCCATTGCCATCTTTCGCATCGGAGAGAGGGCTCGGAGGGTCTAGCCATACCCACCTACACAGAGACAGAGACTCATGGACACAGACAGACAAGAAACACCCACGTGGCGTGACTGCGTACCTCATTTGTTTAGGCTTTGGTTTGGCGCCTTCTATAAGATGGTATCTCAGCTCCTCGAGGCGTTTGAAGAGCTGTATGCCCCGGCCGCGCGAGAGGCCGCTCGGTTTGAGTATCCACAGGTTGTGGCCCGAGGAGAACCCCGCTCGAACGGTGTAGGTGAAGCATGACGGATACGGGGTCACTGACGAGCACAGCACGGACAACAGACATACAGACCTACAGACATAAAACGGTAAGCTTACCTGCGTAGACGAGTTGGTTTGGGTGTGTGAACAACGAAGCACGGCTGCCCCGGGGCGGCTCGGCCTTGGTGCCAGCAGGCCTCTGCAGCAGGCAGACAGGGAGAAAAGGACACATGCTCAGCCATGTGTGTGTGGGTGTGTGTGCGTGTGGGTGTGACCTTGAGTTGGTTGAAGAAGTGTGCAAAGTCCTGGTAGGTGGGGCTGTCCCTATCGCTGTTGATGAGGAAGGTCAGCGGGATGTACTCAAACAAATCCAGCCCCAGACTCTGATCCATCGGCAGAGAGAGACAACACAGAGTTTGGTGTGTTGGTTGTGGTTGTGCTATGCTCATTGGCTGCATTGCTTGCGTGCATGCCTCTGTGAATTTGGCGAGGTTGGTGAGTAGTCTGCCCTTGACGGCGATCTCGTAGCCATACTCAAAGTGGTTCACTAGTTGCACATTGCTGATGCTGCCCCACCTACACACACAGCACAAAGACAGAAGTGAAAGACACGGCGCACACACATCGTGCAAGCACCAGCGTGTGTCTCGCTGACTTGATGGCGTGTCCGGTCTGGTCCCATCTTAGGTCGAAGATCGAGCACCAAGTGGTCTCCACCACACGCCACCACGGACGCGTCTCCGTCAACACCCGCTCCACCAGCTTGTGGTTGTTCCCAGCCGCCAACACACACTGCACCCATGACACACACACGCTTTCCCACACAAGCATGGGTAATGGAGACATACATATGCGCCTCATCTCCGTGTGTGTGTGTGTGTGTATGGCTATGTGACCGTGTAAGTGCCGGGTTCCTTGCTGATGGACGTGGAGTAGGATGAGTTTTTGTATGAGGACCGGACGGTGGAGAACGGGATGGGCCCGTCTCCGCCCCACGGCACATACCGTGGCGACACCATCTTCTTCTGAACCCTCGGCAGCTCCAACCGAGGCCACTGCAGAGACACGCAGTCACCCCCCACCAAGCATGCTCCAGTACGCACGTACCTCGGGTCTTCCCGCGTCTGCAATCTCCATCCTGGGGTAGTGGGTGATGGGCTCACTCTCCCGTCTGGTCGACTTGGCCCCGACTGCCACTCCAACAGCATCTGGTGCGAGTGACGGCCTGGGCCTCGCCTGCACCTGCTGCACCGCCGCATAGGGCGACACATACATGTCGCTGCGGGCGATCACAGCGGCTGACTGGGGCGGGGCCACAGGTGGTGGGGGAGGCTGGACCACACGTGGGGGAGGGAGAGCGGGGCTTGGAGACCCTGTTGACTGCCCGGATGGCTTGGACGGCTTGGGAGGCCGCTGCTTGGGGGTGGTGTTGGCGACGGGGGAGGTGATGTACGGGGTGAACTGCTGTTTGCTCGGCTTGGGTGGCAGGCGAGCCTGACTCGCTGACACATCTGCACAGAAAAAAGAGAGGTCCATACTCGCCATCGATCTGCGCCAATGATTGTGCAGTGTGCAGTTCCATACTATTTGCCTTTGCAGTGCGTTTCTTGTTGTCCTTGACTTTGCTCGGCGTAGTCATTGGCGGCGGGTGCAGGGTGATGGCTCTTCCAGCAATGGCGGTCACAGGAGGTGCGGTCGGCGGTGGGGTGAGGGTCAGTCTGAGTCTCAGCTGCAGGGACTCACTGTTGGTGGAGGACATCAAGTCTGACAAACTCAGACTTGCCCCAGGACCCCGACTCATCGACAACGACAAGCATCAATTGGAGAGGACCCTTCTGCGCGGTTGCTTTCACTGTCGTGCGAGCTCGGGGGGCTGCCTGGGGGCTGCATGCATGCTGACCGTGAAGCACCGTGACAAAATGGAGACCACAGGAGCTCCACCCCTGAATGGAGGCAGCCCTCGCGCATCAGCTGCGCTCCCTCCTCCTTCCTTGCCCAATCCCCTCGCCCCAGTTGACCCACCCATCGCACCCGCAAGAGTGACTCTCACCTCCCTGATGCTCTTCCTCTTTCCAAAAACCATCGAACATCCCGAATCAACACCAAGACTCGACTTCTATGCGCATTGCGGGCCGGCTGACGAGCAGGGACTCATGCGCGCAGGTATGTAGGTTGGCGTCATGACACGCAGACGGCGGGTGCATTCACCTGTTTGTGATGTTTGTGGTGCTCCGAGATTCTTTCAGGGTTTAAGGGTCGTCACGTGATGACTCATGGGGAGCTGAAAGTGGCGTTTGCAGAGATGTATAGGCAGGAGCTGTTCAAGCTTTTCTATCGACCGAAGGAGACCGTCGACTTACTGGTGGAGTCGCTTGTGAGGACGGCTCTAAACCCGGCGGGCCACTACACACGGGATGAGGTGCTTGGCTTGCTGGCGCATATTCCGCAAGACGAGGACGGCCGGCTGTCCTTTCAAGAGATACAGCGGTACATCGCAGATGCTCCAGCATTCATGCATGGGGCCACCCGTGACTCTGCACGTGTGTGTGTGTGTGTGTATGTTTGTGCGTGTCCATGGTAGGGCAGTGTTGGATGATTTCCGCAGACGGATGACTGCTCTTGTCGACGGTGCCCAGTGAACAAGGCAGTGCTTATCTCGCCCCTTTTCATGTCTCCTGCCTGTCTGTTGTATGTGTGCGCAGGGAAGGAGATAATAGAGGACAAAAAGCGGCCAATTCCGTACCAGTCGAAGGCAGCCGCCATCCTGTAACCACATACATGTCTTGCTTGTCGATTGACGACTGGGACAGCGGCGTGGTGCTTGTCTTTGTGTGTGCAGTGACCAGCTGGCACGAAAGAAGAAGCTCCTGCCTAATGAGGAGTTCCAAGCCGTCACCAAGCGACTCCACGCTTACGCCGGTATGTCCATCTATACCGGTGTCTCTCTGTCTGTCTGTCTGTCTGTCTGCATGCATGCACGGCTGGTTGGCTGGGTGCGGTGCAGGTCTGATAGCGCCGCTGGATGAGCAGAGCAACTCCTCTGCACTGTCCCTCAATATACGCATCATGAGGTCAGCATTGACATACATGTTTCTCTCCCACGTGTGTGCTCGATCTTCCGTCTGCCTGTCTGTCTGTCTGTCTTGGTCTTTGCAGAGACCCCCCGCCCGTGAACGACCGGTGGGATCGGTACTGCTGTGTCCGGCACACCAACAAGGGCTCACACGTCAAGAAACACGCACCAGTAACCGACATATGACGAGTGGCTTCCCGGAGTTGTATGGATATGTCCGACGAGCCAATGGATAATCGATGGATGGATGGATGGATTGGCAGCAATGGTTTGCACAAGTACATGGGTCAGCGTGGAGCTATGTGTGTTACATCACACGTCCACGTGTGTGTGGCCACACCCTACACTCAACCAATATGCATATCCATGAATGCGACTGCACAGGAGGCGGCAGCAGACGTCACAGGCGTACGAACGTCGCACGCACTTTACAGGGAGGATTCCCTGCCTCTCCCATTCACGAGAGTGCGGTGAAGCATCGGCCAGGCTTCTCGGGCCGCATGAGGAACTCGCCGTATTTCATCACCGCCACATCGGTCGGGTGCTCAACCAGGGCTGCCGCAACCTGATGACGCAGTGAGACGGGTCGATAACACAATACATGCAGCTTGCACCATGCATGTCTGTCTCTCTGCCGGCATCACATCACGTGCTCAGCGCTGACCAGGTCGATGATACCCTCCTCCTCCATTTTGGTCCAGAAGTCCTTGTTCAAGGCAAAGGGCACCACAGCCTTGAGCGCTGCGGCCTGCCAACACCACACACATGTACGTGCCTCCATTCATACCGTCACACGGCTGATGAGATATCGGGTACCTGGAGGGTGGCATTGGCCGTGTCCAGCCGGAGGGCCGACTTGAGGGTGTCGAATATGTTGTTGTCGACGAGCGTCTGTCTGGATGAGGGGTTGGAGGCCAGATGGGCCAGCACACCACACAGAATGGTCATGATAGCCACATCAAGGTGCCAGTGACGACCCAACACCAGCACAGGAAGCAACCCTGCACAGAGAAGCGCGGGAACAATAAAGTGAGAACCTCTCTCTCTCTCTCTCACTCTCTCACTCTCTCTCACTCACTGACCAAGGTCCCTCTCCATGACTTCCAGCACATGTCCCTGAGCTTTGGTGAGGTTCAACAAGGCAAGCAAGGCCTTGGTGACCATCTCACGGTCGTCAGGGAACGCGCATATGGCGTACAGCACCCGATCCAGTGCGTCATGGCGCTGCAGAAACACCTCCAGAGGCTCCTCGGCCGCGAGGAAAGCAATGACCCCCACAACCCTTGACAGCACGGCGGCCCTTTCCCTGTACTCGCGGCCCACCTCACACAGCCACGGCACCCCGCCCACCCGACATATCTCCGTCCGCCATTGCACGTCGTCCGTCACAAGCCTCTCCACTATCTTGAGACCAATCGTCTGCAGCTCCATGAAATTCAGATTCACCCTGGGGCCTTTCGCAGCCTGCTGCTGCTGCTGCTGCTGATGGATGTTGGCCAATGCCGTGGGGGCAGCGGCGGGGCCTTTCTGGGCGTCTGTCGGTTGCTGAGGCTCATCAGCTGCCGGCAGGATGCTTGGCCGGGCTCGTCTGGGGCTTTGGGTGTAGCTGTCTGGTGCGATATAAGCGAGGAGGACCGCGACGAGGGGTTCCATGAAGCCCATCTCGATCATCTCCTGGGCATACGCCGTGGGGTCACACTCATCCACCTGTACAGACACACAGACAGACAGACAGACAGGCATATCCACAAAAGGCCCATCCATCATATTTCTTGCCATGGCATACGTATGGTATATCTGTGGGTCTCGGTCCAATGGCCACCTCCACCGCCCTGAGTCCCATCCTCACCCACCACCACACGTCCTGGCGAGACAGCAGACACGTCAGCAGCGCCGCCGGGCCGTGGACACAGGCTATCTTGAGCAGTTGGTTCTCCTGGTCCTCTGGCGAAATCAGCAGCCGCCTGCTCCGTGCCGTGCTGTCCTCTATCTCCCGAGGGGCCGCCCTGCGGCTCGCTTTCCGGGCGGCCGCCTTGGACGCTGCTGCATGGCTGCTGGACGAGCGAGAATGGTTGTTGGACGAGCGAGAGGGGAGACGTGGTGCGGCTGCTGGGGCCTCCCTCGGACTGGCGTCTGAGTTCCTGCCGTCCACAACGACGGACGTCAACAGGCCCTGAGCCTCACCATTTGCCTTTGCTGGCATTGCAAAGGAGAACCTGGGATTAAGCTCGCACAAAAAAGTGAGCTCGCAGTTTGCTTGAAGTTTTGAGGAACCTTTCGCGTACGTATTTTCGTGTGAAGGCACCATGGCGGATCAACTGACAGAGGAACAGATAGCAGAGTTCAAGGTATGCACGCCATCGCACGGTATCCGTGACGCAGTGGCACGTGTGCCTGCATGTGTGTGCGTCGCTGTCGTCCTCAGGAGGCGTTCTCATTGTTTGACAAGGATGGGGACGGAAGTAAGCATGACGTATAAGTAAAGAGAAACCTCTGTGTGTGTTGGGGGCTTCGCGCGCGCAAAAGGGCGGGCGAGTGCAGCAGAGGACAGCAGAGGAGGCATATTGCAGCGGCTGCATGCAGTGACTGCATGGCTTGTGTGTCTGTTGTGTGTGTGTGTGTTCTCTTCTCTTCGTGTGTGCAGCTATCACCACGAAGGAGTTGGGTACGGTGATGCGTTCGCTGGGTCAGAACCCGACGGAGGCCGAGCTGCAGGACATGATCAATGAGGTTGACGCCGACGGCAATGGTATGCTGATAACCCACGGCTCACCCACAACTGAGAGAGGGCACTGCACTGGAGGGCAGGGAGGAGGACGGTCAGAGAGATTGGTCATTCTTCGTTTGGTGGCCAGGTACGATTGATTTCCCGGAGTTTTTGTCGTTGATGGCACGGAAGATGAAGGACACCGACACCGAGGAGGAACTCATAGAGGCGTTCAAGGTCTTCGACAGGGACGGAAACGGTCAGTCTGCAGACAGACCGGCAGACAAACCACCTGACACTTTCTGTCTGTCGATCTGCTCTTGTGTTTAGGATACATCAGTGCGGCGGAGTTGCGTCACGTCATGACCAACCTGGGCGAGAAACTCACTGACGAGGAAGTCGACGAAATGAGTCAGTCAGCCGGAGAATAGCAAGATGCAGACACGGACACCACCGTCACTCGCTGCCTTTCCTTGCCTGTGTGCTTGTGTGTATGTGTGCAGTCCGGGAAGCCGACGTGGACGGCGATGGCCAAATCAACTACGAGGAATTTGTCAAAAGTAAGTCAGCAAAAGACAGTAAGTTGCCAAAGCGGGAATGGCACACGGGTGTGTGTGTGTGTGTGTCAGTGATGATGGCCAAATAGCGCTACCTACCGGCTGTGCTGTGGGAGGAGTTATGTGTGCATGACTGCACGAGTGCTGCGTCACGTGCTGTGGCGCTGTGGTGCAACCAATGTCTTGTTCCTTTCCCTCCCTCCCTCCGTCCCTCTCCATCTGCCTACCTATGGAAGCAGGCAGGCAGGCTGGCCTCTCCATCTCCATGCTTCTCTCTGCCCCCACACATGCACAGCCTTGCTGCTGGCTGGCTGACACTCTCACTGACTGGCTGAGCCAACATCGATGTGCCTGCCTGCCTGCCTGGCTGGCTGGCTGCGGTTGATTGACATGGGGTTGATTTTGCGCGAGCCACGGTGTTCCTTCACACTGCCTGTATCAAGCAAGGGGGGCGCTGAATGACTAATGGCTGACCGATTGCTGACTGGCTGCTGTCTTGATTGACGACCGACCGACTGGGGACGTTGTTTCCTTTACGGATGCACTCTTCGTTCGTGGATTGCCGCTGCGCAGTGCATTGCATTGCCCTGCGTGGATGCATGTGAGTGTGGAGCGGACCGCCATAGACTGATAATCACTGTCTGCCTGCCTGCCTGTGAATATACATACATGTGCCCACCCCCCGCCCCTCCCACACACGCACGCACACACACACGAAGCACGAAGCACACACACACACCATGACCCCAAGACATGCCTGTCTTGCGCAGTTAGCCAGGAAATAGGCAGGAAACCTGAAGAGAAAGATACGTAGGCAGACAGGCGCAGCACGTGGCGAATTTTGCCGGAGGTTTCTTCCCTCACTCGCTGACTCATCCGTCCCCAATTTTTGGGCCTCCTTGCTTGGTCTAACCTGATATGCTTTGCTCTCAGTCTGTCCGCCCCTCCCTCCCTCCCTCCCTCTTTGGGTCGATTTAAGAAAGCTTGATGGATGGATGTGGGAAAGTGGGCGGGTGACGAGAGGCACTCACTTGATGGGCGTCAACTCACACACTCACTCACTGTCTGAATGTGCGTGCCTGGCTGTGCGTGTACGTTGCTTACTCGGATGGGACGGGTGTGGTGCGGCCATTTGTCTGTCTGTTTGTCGGGCCACTCCCCGTGTGTGTCTGTTGTGTGCGTGTCTGGCTGAAGGACGATGGATGCAGCGAGCTGTCTACCTGTCTGTCTGTCTGTCAATGCAATGCGTGTACTATACTCAGTACATTCATTTCATTCCCCTACGGCTGCATGTGCTGTCACATGCTCGCGACACGAACGAACGAACGCAACAATTCGATTCACTCGACCGGCAAGTCCGCGTCAACCACTACGGTTCCGACACAAGTCTATTACTGAAACATGCACACACGAATCACACAGACACTCGCCAGAAATTCCTTGTTTGAAATGACAACACGGGGCGGTGCCAGTCCAGTACACGGTAGCCACGACTCCCCCTCACACACACCCCACTGTCTTTCATCTTCTCAGATGATGATATATGCCAAAGCCTCTCGCTGTTTCTCTCCACCTTCTCCTCCGCTCCACCATGGCTGGCCAGACGTCAGTCAGCTGATGCCCAGCGGCACGAACAGGTCAAGGTTGTTGATGTACCCCAGCTGCTGCCGCTGCTGGATCTGGCAGTCGAGCTATCGCCCTTGAAGCCCTTGACCACCCCCTCCACGCCGTGCCGGGCCGCCTCGTCCAGCGGGCCTTGTGCACCCGCCACCTCACGCACACCCAGCCGCCGATGCTTGCCGCCCCCCCGCTGCCCCCCATTGACGGCGAAGCACTGCAAGGGCGGTACGGTCACCTTGGTGCTGTCCGCCCCTCCCTCGTGCTGCACATACCGCGTCCCCCCGACCACCTCCCGGTTGCTGCTCGTCCGTGTGGCCGCCTGCTTCACGAAATGCAGCCCGGCCGCCCGCACACGGCGCCCCAGCACCGAGTCGCCCGTCAAGTACTCATCGATGGCCGCCATGGCAGCGGAGGGCTCGTGCAGGAGCGCCCCAATCTTCCAGACCATGGCCTGTGCTTTTTGGGGGCCAAATGAGAGGTTGGAGGGCGATGGGTGGGGACGGGCGCCATCATGATGGGGCGCGACGGACGAGGAGCATGGGGCGGCGCAAGGGCCTGTTGACCACCGTCTTGTACTCGGCCAGCACCAGCTGGCGACCACGGCGGCCGATGTTGGGTGGCCGTGGACACCCGGGCGATGTCTGCCCCCACTCACAGCGGCACATTGATGGTGAGAATGCAAGATGTGATCTCCTTACCTGTGACAATCCCACATCAGCCGGTGGAGTCCATCGCCCTTAGCAGTGAGGCGGGCGGAGGCTGACAGGCTGGGAGAAAAAGCCACGCAGGAGAGAGATGAATCGATGGCTCATTCTGCAGCTTCTTACCCGTTCGGATCACCCGCCAATGGGAGTGATGATGTGTCTGGCACTGTCTGCCGGCAGCAGGTGAGGTCGTCATGGTGAGCCACTATCAGCAACGCCGCCAGTTCAGAGGATCATAGCAGCTTTGTTGTTCATCGCCCATCCGAACGCAAGATCGTCGACGGAAACCATCAGTGAGGTCATGCTATCTCCCGCTTGCTGCTGATCCGTCAACGCGTGCGATCTTCTCTCCGGGGAGGCGTAGATCTTGGCTTTTCCCTTGTAGAACCGCATTCACAGCCCCATGTGAGGGCAATCGTCTACCGTGACTGGGGGGCCTGGGGGGCCCCAGGCTGAGACGCGCGGACGACCCAAGGCACACGTTCGTTCGTTCCTTCGTTCGTTCGTTCGCACACAGAGCTTTGCAGCCATGCCTATGATACCCGTCTCGCAGCCGACGCAGATCAGCGTCCGAGAGCCGCAGGGGGCGGAAGTTCAACGAACGTTCACAATGACGCAGCAGTCCACGCACCGCGGCTCCTCACGAGTGTACGGCGGCATGTTCATGGAAGAGGAGGCCGCCTTCAAGGTGAGGTTGCTCGACGGGAAGGGCGCCGAAAGCCTCGCCGCCTATCTCAAAGCAGAAGAACAGCGGATGATCTACCTTCGTGACTTGCACAAGGGACAGGGCGATGTCGAGGACATCAGGGAGAGGGGTTTCTTGCCGCTTCGCTACGCCTATACCAACCCTGAGAGGCCGGCCACCCTCATCACGGGCGAGGGATCTGACAGGACAGAGAGACCATGCGTTTTCATCGTAACGCCGTTGCAAAAACGTAAGCCAAAGTTGATGCGACGAGCCAGGCACATGTGGAGGGAAAGGCCATGTGTGTGTCTGTTGGATTGTGTGCAGTCGGGAAGGACCCGGACAAGGACGAATACATTGACATTTCAGATGCCCTCCGTCTCCACAATCTGCGCAAGATCTCAGAGAAATACAGCGGGCCGCTCTCAGCAGCTGATCTGGCCGCCATCCGAAGTCACATGGCCAGAGGCGTCCGGGCCCTCTGTCTCTTTCTCCAGGCTCACATAACGATATCCCAAGCCCTCCTCTATGCGGTGGACAACCTCGGCAATGACGTCCTGCTCAAATGGAGAGCTCTGACAGACGAGGACTTCTTTCGGTCTGTCTGTTTTCTCCCCTCAACCCCTTCACCCGCGCAGCTGCCGGCTTTGGGGAGATGTCCTGGAGCCCTCATCATCGACCTCGCCAATGCTCTCAAGGCAGAGGAGACACCAGAAGAGTGCCGAGAATCTATCGGGCCATATGCAGCCAGAGTGCCGACAGACGCCCGCGACCAAGAGGAGCAGCTACAGGTCCTCGCTCTGACGCCCTTTGCAGCCCCCCCTGAGACGTCCGTAGGCAGATGGAGAGCTGTGTGCAATCACACACGCGCGGCACAGCCAGACCAAGAGGCCGCGGAGATGGTGCGCATCAACGATTTGATGGACTTCATGACAGCCGCAATGCAGATCCGAGGGACAATGACCTGGGATAGGACGGCGATCTACATCGGGCCGACTGCTGCCAGCTGGGGCGCGGGGCACGGGATTCGCTACTACGTGAGTGGGGACAACTATAAGATGGTAACATTACAGAAGAACCTCAAGTGGGACATCAAAATACGAGAGGCAAAGGAGGGAGGGAGGCCGGACGAGGTGCAGGCGGCGGAGCAAGAGGAGGAGAGGCTGGCAGACAGGATGGACCTGACCAACTGCCTTACATGGCAGGACTTCGTCCCGACTCTCTTCGAACCCGATGGTATGGCCAAGACATTTAGAAGGAAGGTGAAGCCGCTTCATAAGAGGGAGGAAGCCGAGCTGCAATGGACAAAAGAGGTCGCAGCAAAGCTCAGCAAGGTGGCGCAGGCAGCACTCAACGAGGACCCATCTCAACGGCCACATCTGCAAGACATTTTGACGGCTCTTCTCGCGGTCCACGATTCGATCATGGTACTACAGAGATTCTGTCTCTTACTTGTCCTACGTGTCTCGTTGCCTGGCTTATACAGTCCGCGCCAGTTGGTCTTAGCGGCCACTCCGAGGAACCGAGTGCGCCTTACGTGAGCAGTGTGGAGCCCGTGATGGGCATGGAGGAAAGCCAGGCAACATCAGAGGTAGCAGCGGTCCGAGTAGCTGGCAACGACGCAGAGCAGAACGACGTTCAAGTGTCACAGTCAAGGTGGCGGCGCTTTTTCTCATCGTTTTTCCGTCGAAAGGGGTCAAAAGCAGACGAGCTGAATGCAGAGGAAGCGGCTCGGGAGGAAGAGGAGTGGACAGAGGTGGAGATGAAGGAAACAGAGGGCTGGCAACAGCACGAGACACGACAGCGGGCACTGTGGGATCACGAGGTGTTTGAGGCGGCCATGGAGGGAGCGGTGTGAGCAGAGCAGAGCCCGGCTACCATAACACCTTGAAGCATTTCCCTCCCCTTCCCCCGCCCCTCCGGATCTTCTCTTCGGCCCCTCCCCATTCTGCTCCCCCATCCCCCTTTCGGCGGCCTCCGATCGCCTCTGTTCACCCCTCCTCATCATTCTCCTGTGGCCCTCTGACTTGTCTCCTTCCCCAAGCCCCCCCCCCCTCCCCGGCCAGCCCCCTGCTCCCTGCCGTCAGCTGCGTCGCGGCGCCAGTGCTTCAACCAAGACCTCGGCGCGACCGGTTTTCTCGGGCCCCTCGGCCTGCCGAGTTCTCCCCTCCCTAATTTGTCTGTCACCCTCCCACCTCCCCTTCCCTCCCCATTCCTGTTGCCTACCTGCCTTGCCTGCTGGGTGGAAATGTGTCTGTTTGGTGATGTTCATCGCTTCTTGCTGGCTGGCGATACTATTCATATGTATCATGGTGGTGTCCTTTGCTGCCTCCATATGCTTGGTGGCGAATCGCATTTGACCTCGGTCAGCAGCATACGCACGGCTAGGAGCATGCAACCAGCTGCGTGCGTGTGTGAATGTATGTGTGTGGGCGTGTGATGTGATCAGAGTGACATGTGGGCCATTCGGCCATCTATGGCGGACAGACACGTCTGTGTGACATACGTTAACTCATAGCGCAACGGCAGGCAGAGTCTGTCGGTCTCTCGTGAAACGAACTGCGTCACACACACACACAGACACGTCTGGGTTGATGGCGCTGCGCCATCCTTAGAACACTATGTACCACACAGACAGGTAGGTACATACATAGACAAGCAGAGACACAGAGCATTCAATCGAGATGTGTGTCTCCGATATGTATATGTGTGCAGGGAGGGCCTCCTTATGTAATGTATTGTCTGTCGTGCATTGCATTGTCGGCGACAAACGGCATGTCGCTGCCGCCTTAGTCCATTCATTCACCTGACAAAGTGGGTGAGGCACACAATCGTCTTGATGGTACACTTGTCTTTTGATGTATGTATGTATGTCAGAAGCCGATTGACATGTCTTAGGCGGGTTTATTATGTCGAGAGGTCAGTCAGCGATATATAGCTGCAGAGACGGCATCAATCAATGGATTCACAACTGCTCTCTCTTGACTGCATTGGCATTGTGCAGCATTGTTGCCGCCAAGCCGAGACGAAAGTCGCGCACAATCAACGCATCCTCGACGCCGTCGACTCGTGTCGAATCCTTGCCCTCGAGCGTCTACGTGCGCCAAGGTCGGAAGGAAGGAGGCCTTCGTGCGCGACGAGCTTGGCCAAAGACCAGGTAAGACGAGACGAGACGAGAGGGCAGGTAGGGTAGGTGAGAAGGCGCTCATGTGAAAATGTGTGTGTCATTCAGGCAGGCTGTCTCTTGTCATCGTGGAAGCTTGACGCGTTGCCCGCAAGTTGCTTAAATTATCTGAGGGTTTTCTTTGTCCTTTGTGGCGTTCGCCAGGGCACCTACATGTAGTTGTCTCGCTGTATCGTATTTGCTCGGATGTGTGCGCGTGCACATGTCTGTCTCTCGTGTTTGTTCGTGACTGTCCAGCGGCCACCGTCTACAGCAGACAGATCAGAAGAGAAAGCCGATTCTGTATGAAGTATAGACACACAACGCACGGAAAGCCAGTAGATAAAGCGGAAGTATATATACACATACACACAGCACCCCAGCATTTCTCTCCCCTTGGACACAAGAGCACATGTGATACCTCTCTTCTCCATATTGTCTTAGAATCCAGAAACAGCCATCCTCTCTGTACACAGGCCACACACGACAAAGGGTCGGTCGATGCACACTCACTAGAGAGGAGAAGGCCTGGCCCGCCTGCCTGCAAAAGGCAAGGACTCAAAAACCCTGCTGGCTGCTAACAAAAGAACCTAACCTCTAGGCACACGAACGAATGGGAACGAAGGCCAACAAGACAAAACGTATGTGTCGCTATATCCTCACTTGATTTCTCCCCGCATCCCTCACTGGTCGCCACATCGCTCAAAACGACACACGTGTCGGCAATGGAGCCTACCCCCATCTCATTCTCTCTGCCAATATATATCCCCCCCCTCCCCCTCTCCCTCTCCCTCCCTCTCCCTCTCCCTCACTCGTTGTCGGGGTCGACGGTGTAGGAAGGGTCCGCCTTGTCAGACGCCGTGTCATCGCCGTTGCCGTTGCCGTTGTGGTTGTGGTTGTGGTTGTCAGAAGGGGAGGCCGCATCGCTGTCTGCCGTGGTGGGGCTGAGGGTCAGCGTCAGTGTCTTGGTGTCGCTGGGGCGGACGGTGGTCTCGAAGACGTGGTAGCCGTCCTGGTCCTGGGTGGTGTTGCAGCTCTCGCCCTTGATGTCGTAGCCCTTGGCCTTGATGACGATATCCGTGGGGTCGGTTGCGGGCCCCTCGACCTGAGGGAACACCAGGCCATTCTTCGCGAGGCAGAGCGTCAGCGAACCGTCGCCATGAACCGCAACAACACTGAAGGGTGGGAGAGGAGAAGACACACCGTCGCTTGCGTTGGCCCCGTACAGTATGTGTATTTCTCTCTCGTGTGTTTCTCTCTCACGTACCTGCCAATGTCGGCCACATCGTAGATGCCCTCAAACACCGCCTGGTGACCACTTGCAGCGCTCAGCGTCTTGATCTTGCCCTCGAGGCGTCTCCACCCAGCAGCACAAGGCCGCCACCTCCACTCATCTCGAGCTGAGCAGGCTGGAGGTTGATGGTGTCCTTGCGTCCGTCAGCCCCACTGGCAGCGAACAGCAGCATGGCCTTGGCAGGCTTGACGTGGATGTGGTCCAGGCTCACGTTGGCGAGACCGCCACAGATGATGAGCGACGTCTTGTGGCGGAATATGACGAGCGGCTGCCCGCCGGCGGCCATGATGCACGTCACCTCGGTCTTCTTGTTCGCGGGCGTCATCACCGCCTCAGGATATGCGATGAACAGAGAGGCAAATGAGGCTGCGAGAGGTCACGTGATGTTGGTGACGAGCGCTGCGGTGACGCAAAGTAGGGACGACAGATCTGCAGTTGCGAGCAAGTCTCTGAGCTCGCAGCGGTGGGTGAGCGTCGGGACGGCAGGAGTCGGAAACAAACCTGTGGTGTTCCCAGAGGCGCAATGGGCAAGAACAAGAAGAGATCCGCGCAAGAACGGGAAAATCCCGCGGTCGTGGTGAGGCGGACAGATCCATGTGCTAACAGATGCACCTCAATCACCGCTCCCATTTCATCCTGTGTGGTGTCTGTGCAATGCAATGCATTGTGTGTATGTCATGCAGCTGAATCTCCGCCGCACCAACCCGGGAGGAAGAGGTCCGTTCTTTGGCGAGATGAAGCCTGACATGGCTGACGTGCAGAACCTCATCAGATGGTCAGTCAGCCATAGCATACAGCCAAACTCAATGCACCCATCCTGTCGGGTCTCCTGCACCCGTCCTCTTGACTCTTTGTTCTTCCTGCAGGGCGTTCCTGCCGCCCGAAATGCGTCAGGCGATGAAGGACCGGGAGAAGGACGGCTACGGCAGCGACTGGATAGACCTCTCCCCAGTGGATGTCAGCCAGGCGCTGGTCGTCATGGTGCCCTACCTGGACCAGCTGACCTTCAGAGAGGCCTTCAGGGAGCTGCTCAAGACCGTCAACAGGGGCGAGCCAACCGCATGCACCATGTATGGCTGGATGGATGCAGCAGACCAGACCACGAGAGAGAGAGATAGACGGGGCTTGGCTTGTTCGTTGGATGTTTGGTGGTTTCTGTTTTGTTTGTGTTGCAGGCGCTACGAGCCAGTCGACAGGAATGCCGGGTGCTCCTTTGTGGAGGTCGGTGCGATGCGATGCGTGTGGAGGGGGGATGAACGTGTGACACCGATTTAGCCAGCCCACTCTTGGTCATATCGTGTCTGTGTGTCCGTGCCCTGTCAGCGCCTGTTGACGTATCACGCTGTCAAGCCAGAGGACAGTCGTCGGCCGCCGCAGATGAGAAACAAACAGGACAAGTCGGCCCCTCCCCGTCGGGTGCCCCCGGTGCGCCATTACTTCCCCTCCCCCGATGACCTCCGCGCCAATGGCTATCCCGCATTCGGTACGCAACGCACCAGCCACTGCCAATCAATGCACCAGACGCTTTTCTCACCTCTGCAGATCCCCCGACGTCACGCAACCCTCCAAGTGGCTTTATCGTGCTGGACGGCGAGCAGCAGCAGGCCTCTGCTGCAGACGCCGAGCCCACCCAGCTGCTGGACCGCATAGAGGACGATCCTGACCACGCGAAGCTGTTCGGTCTTGACTGCGAGATGTGTGAGACGGAGAATGGGATGGAGATCACGCGGGTGTCGATCGTCAATGTGCGGTGGGAGACGGTGGTGGACACGTTTGTCAGGCCAGCGGGCAAGGTCACAGACTACCTCACCAGATACAGCGGCATCTCTGAGGAGACCCTCAAAGGTGAGCAGAGGGACGCAAGGAAAAGGAGGGAGGGAGAAGGGATGGGTTACCCACTTGTCGATTGTTTGGTTTGTGTATCTATCGTCATTTTGGTAGATGTGACAACGGGTCTGTCTGACGTGCACGAGGAGATGCGTCGCGCCCTGCCCCATGACGCCATACTCGTCGGACACTCAATGGAAAACGATCTCACGTGAGCCGCCGCACAAAGATAGAGACACGGCCTGATGGTGGATCCTTCTGCTGTCGTACACGACACACACATAGGTATCTCCGTCTGGTGCACACCCGTGTGTTGGACACGGCCCTCCTCTACCCCCACCCCAGGCCGCCAAACAAGTCATCTCTGCAATACCTCGTACGCAGCCCTTCCACCATACAACACAACACAACACCTCCCCCACCTCGTCTGTGTGTCTGTCTGGCTGAGTGCTGCATGGGTTCATGCAGGTCAAGACGTATCTTCACAAGGAGGGTCTCGATAGGAAAGACGGACACGACTCAGTCGAGGACGCCAAGGCCGCCCTCCGGCTGGCCATCCTCAAGCTGGAAAACGGCCCCGGCTTCGGCGGCTCCCTGGCACCCAACGCCCCAGTGCCCTTCTCATCCACGGTGCCCGCCCCATGCGCATGCGCATCAACTTCCTCACAGGCCGGCCCCCTCTCGGGGGCAGCCAACACTCTGCAGTCGTTGACGATTGCAAAAGAGGATCATGAAGGGCGGTCGACGATGGGCAATGGTGGTGGCGGGGGATGCGTGTTGGGTGGTGAGGTTGGTGTGGGAGGTGTGGCGTTTGAGCCGACGGATCGGGTGGTGCTGTGCGACTCGGTCCCACACAGGATGAAGCACACGCTGATCGGACCCATGTTCCAGGTAAGATCTATCAGGCCAGGGAGAGTGAGACGAGACAGAGGAGACACTCACTGCATCATGTCGTGTGATATCCTGTGTGTTATCTGTCTGTCTGGATGTGTGCAGGGTGTGAAGGCCATCCAAACGGAATCTGACGCCGAGACGGTCAACCACATGGAGGCCCTGCAGCGCCGCCTCTCGTCCGCCACCCACACACACTCCCCCTCTCCCCCCGACCTGCCCAGCGCCATGGAACTCACACCCCCCTGCAAGAAGAACGGCTCTGGCAAACGCTCACCCCCACAAGCACACGCACTCGGTGCCAGCGCGGCGGCCGGTTGTGTGCCCCGTGTGTCGGTGTGCGTGTTGCGTGACTACCAGCGGCTGTGTTCGGCCAATGTTGGGATGGACACGGGCAAGCTCTACACCTTCAACCATCGCGTCAAGCGGGTGGTGCACGTGTACCAGAGGGTGAGGGATGGGCTCGAGCCGCTGCACAAGGACAAGGACAAGAACAGGGAGAGGGAGAGGGAGGGTGCCATGGACGACGGGCAGGGCGACGGCAGCCCGCGCAGCAATGACATCGGTACACACATGGCCGGATGAGCAAGATGACAACAGCGCAGAGGCATCGCTGCTCTGCTGTGTGTGTTGACATAGATCTGGAGGCGATTCAGCGTGATTCCCGCGCCCTGTTTCCCCCGCTGCCATCCGACGCCCGTCAGTCGTGCCTTCGAGCCATCGAGGGGCACGTGAGGCGCCTCTACGATGCGGCGCCGGCCAACTCCTTGATCGTCATCCTCACTGGCACGGGAGACGCCGCCAGGTACATGAAATGACACGACCCCCCACACCACCCACAGCACCCACCGTGTTTGCCGGGATTGGATCTGTCTGGCAGGTATCTGAGCATGATGGCGGGCAAGAAGGAGCTGACGAACCTGCAGCACGAGGAGGACAAGACGCCCACCGCCCATCATGCGCAGGGAGGGAGGCCAGATGGGCTGCAGCCGTTGCGATGGACGACGTCGCTCGACTGCGACCTGGAGCGGGCCAAGGCCACCTTCAGCTGCCCTGTGGGGTGCTTCATTCTCAAGACCACAGGCGGCTGAGTAGTGAGGGCCGACTTGGATAGAAGTGGTCAATGAGTGACATGAGCGTTATATGATCTATCAACACGACACCACACGATGTGATCCACAAATGTCATAATGTCCCTGTCGACAAACAAACAAACAAACAGCCAGCCACACTGAACGAACGAACAGCCGGCCCCGCCACACAACAAATCGATATCTATCAGAGACACCACACTCTCGTCTGCACGCCACAAGCCAATGCTTCCAGAAAGTCCCAAGGCCCCAGGCATCCCAACACACATACAGTCTCACACACAAGGCCCTCATAAAGCACACCCAAGCCACGCGCCGCACCTTCCTGCGCACTTCGCTTCCAGACCAACTCACTGAGACGCAACTAAAGGGCGGAGGCCCTCGCGACTCTGGGCGAGCCCGGCTCGCTCTCCTCTTTGCTCTTGAGTCTCTGCTGCTCCTTCAGCCGGACCACCAAATTGTACCCAAACGCTCCTGCAATGGCGCCTGCGGTCGGCGCCACCATGTAGAGCCACAATTCTATCTTGCGGGGACCCGGGAACGCTATTTGGCCATAGCCTGCATGGATAAAGGCAGACAAGAGGACACAGATTGTCACGCCACCAGCTAGCTATCTGAAGCAGGCACCCCCCACCCACAGTGCCCTCCTCACTCACCACATAGCCACAGCAGCACTCGTGGTGCGAGGTCTCTGCAGGGGTTCAAGCAGCACTGCGTCATCGGCGCTATCAACACTATCAAGATGGCTAGCGTCACCCCCAGCACAGACGACGGAAGCCACACGCTGGGCTTGGGAGCAGGTCTACTCAGCAGCCCCAATTGTTCTCGCTGTGGATCGTTGGCTGGTTCATGAGCCATGGCTTTGATGACGACCAGAAGAGATGCAGTAGCGAGGAACTCCAGAAAAAAGGCTCGCTGGGGTGTCACCGCTTCGTAGGGGTCAACATACCTTAAGCACACACACACACACACACACAAAAGGCCAGGCCACACACCCCTGTCGCTGGCTGGATGAATGGATTGTCTGTCCAAGGGAGAGCAGACGTGCTCACGTGTTGCCTGGTGGCGGGAAGTAGCAGGCAAAGATGGAGGCCCCCGTGAGCATTGACAAAGTGGTGCCGTCGCGTTGCAGTGACTCGATGTGGCTTCTGAAGCAGCCGTAGACGAGCGCTGCAGCGGCAAAAGCGCCGATGAACTGGCCGCACAGGTATAGCGCCATATCCGTCGCCTGCACCAACAAGCGACAATCATATACATGTACCATGGCAGACCACAGAGACGATGCCTGCCTGCCTGTCTGACGTGTGCATACTGTCATCTTGTTGGAGCCATCCAGGTGCAGAGCGATGCTGACGGCGGGGTTGAGGTGGGCGTTGCTGAGTTTGCTGGCCACATGGATGGCTAACACCAGCCCCACGCCCCACGCAATGGCCACCTGCAATGGCACACCCGACGATACAAGTGCCTCGGTGCACTCCATCCATTCCACGCCCACACACACGCACCCACCTGCCAGATCGCGTAGTTGCCGGGCAGCAGCGTCGCTATGGCGCCGAATCCCTCACCAATGGAGAGCAGCAAGGCCACGCCGAGTGCTTCGCCTGCCAGCGAACTGGCACGAGATGTGAAATCAGATGACGCCATCTTCAATTCAGAAGCAGCGGGCGGATCTGCTGCCATGACGACATCCTTCAGATGGGGATGGTGAATCGTTTTTGTCTGTGTGCCTTTCCGCTCCGCGTACCTTTCCTCCTCGCTGTTTTGTTTTTTCTTCTCGAGTGCTCGTTTCAATCCATCAAGCTGCGTGACGCGCAAGGGGAAGGGACGATGCTGCTGGTGTGTCCGTGATCTGCGGCGACGTCCGACAGTCAGGGGCCATCGTGATGAGTCTTCTCCACCTGCATCGACGCAAAAGGGCCATTTCAATGTGGGATCTGTGGCAGCAATGCCTTATCCGTCATCTTACCACTGCACTTTGTTGATTCTCCCTCCTCGGCGCGCAGATCAAACCCTGGACCTCAAACCCTACGATTGGCATCGCCACCAGTACACGAGTCGATAGCTTTGATTGACCAGACGGTTGGTTGGTTCATATTGAATGAATGCGTGTGCGTCTAGCTGTGAGGATAGATAGGATGTCCGTATCCATCCATCCATCATGATCCAATCCAATCCACAAACAGAGGAAAGCCACCGCTACACGCCATTAAATCGGTATACAGTAAGTATCGCATAAAGCAATCAGTGACGGGGTGATTTGACATCTGTATTACGGATCCTGACGCAACGTCTTACGCTTCCAAGAACCGATCGACCAAGTCCATCCTGAAGCAGCACGAGACCGCCAAGAAGAAGAAATACCGCTCGGCCGTCTGCGACTCCCGCGTGACCTTCTGCCCTCTGGTGGTGACGTGTGACGGTGTGTTGGGACACGATGCCAACGTGTTCATCGCCCACATGGCTCATGCGCTGTTGGAGAAGGAGGGGTGGAAGGGTCGGGGGTTCAGTCATGTGTCTGGATGGATTCGCTCTCGCTTGTCTATCGCCCTCGCGCGTGCGACTAGCTTCTGTCTGCGTGGGGGAGGGAGGGGAGGGTTTGCGGGACTGGGGTGTGCTGATGGGGCGGGGATTGATCCCTCCTCCCCTTGAGCCTGTTTGACTCTGCGTGCTGATGGGACTGTATTTGTATGAGTATCACGGACACACAGACGAGTGTTACGGTTAATGACAGTTTCCCCCCCGTGACGGGGTGATTGCTTTATGGAAATGATTGGTTTATACGGTGATTGCTTTAAGCGATACTTACTGCAGTCGCCCAGATCAGAATCAATTGATCAGAATTCGCCTCTCCACGTGCGTGCACGGTTTTCCACGTGCACGGTTTTGTAGACAAGGGCCGCATCAGGAGGCACCATCACTTTCCACCGTGCCGGTCTTCTCTTGATGGCCTTCGCCTTTCCATGCGCCTCGAGATTTGGCGAGACTGCGAGACGGACCTCTCACAAAGCCTAATTTATTATTGCGTAATTATTGTATCGCCAGCACCGACCCGCCTCGGGCTGCCTCTGTATCGCTCGTCGCCCACGCCACCGAGAAAGTCGGCCGCCACATTCACCCAAGCAGCCACCCAGTGCTGCATCCCGCTCCCTCCCCCCACCCACCTGGTGGCGGACGACGCTGAGGCGGCAACGGACGCAGGCGACAGACAAGAGGAGGGCGGGTGGACGAGCGAGGCAGACAAGGCAGCCGAGGAGAGCTCCCGCTCCCTTGGTGAGCTGGAGGAGCCAGGGAATTCGAAGAACGCCCCGTCCATCCCCCTGCTGGCGTCATCGCCAGCAGAGGCGAAGGCCGCAAGATATCAGATGGCGCATTGCAGTATACAGCCAGAGGGTACACGAGAGAGAGAGAGAGGCAGATGTATAACGTATATTGTTCCTTGATTCAGGTGCGAGGAAGATCGTACTCAGCACGAACATCACTCAACTCGATTACGATTGACGACGTTCGGTGAGAACGATTGGATGAACGACAGAACATGAAGATGAATACAGAAAGAGGGATGAGTCATAAGGGTTGTTGTCAGGCATGTAGTCGATACGATGATGCACAAAACAATGTTCTCCGACAACAACACCCGGGTAAGGATACAAATAGTACACAACCGAGCTGTTGTGCAGGAAGCTGGAGACTCAAGTCAAGCGGCTGGTACACATTTGTAAGCGACACGACGCCAAGCACAACGAGGACCCCGAAGAGCGGTCCAGGAACTAACGACAATGACTATATCGCGAGCGGAAGTGAGCGGAAGCAGAGACGCACACATGCAAATCGGTTGTTTCCAATTTCGGATCAGTCAAAGAAAGGGACGAAAAGGGCGGGTCGCTCCAGGTACGTGCTGGCGGCTATCTACTATCCGAGTGTGCCGGCCATTGAAAGGGAGTCACTCGATGAGGTTGCCTTACACATCCTCGCAGTCACTGACAGGTCTGCCTTTACATACGCTGAAATGAACAAGAATGAGCTTAGTGGCGAGCCCTATTCATTCTTCAACGATATGATCGATCCACCTCACCCACACCGCATCGGCGCATCGCTCCGCTATCTCACGGAGATTTCGGCCATTCAGGTCAGCAGGAGACGCAGAGACACAACAATATGCAGCACGCATATCTTGCATGTACACAGCCCTTCAGCAGCCCTTGGTGCTCACCTATCAGGCTGCCTATCGACTTGACCAGCGGGAAGCTGCTTCTGATTGGCTGTGCTGGGCATCCCCAATCAGGTCAGCGAAGGGATAAGATCCATTGTCAACGAGCTACGGTACAAATGAATGTATATCATGACAGGCCCTCACCATCGCCGCGGCGCTGTCAGTCGAGAGTCTTTTCAAAGCGCCACTCGACAGAGAGGCAGAGGCGATGCTGCGCGAGCCAATCTTTGTGGTAGAGACAACGCATCACGCCTGCATGTGTGTTCTCTAGATGCATCGTTTTCTTCCTCTAAACGCAGGTCCCGACCTACGTAGTGACCACCTGGCAGCCATGCGGGTATATGACGAGTGGCGTCGGTGCCGCGCAAATTTCCTTGATGTCCCCACACTTTGCGGCACAAAAGCCACAAGAGCGCAGATGGAGGGTTGGCCGGGACGTGCGGCGAGTTCCAGATAGCCGTCAACAACATCGTCCTGGACAACACCGACGACGAGACATTCGGCGCGATATTGTCCGACGACGGCAAGCCCACTATCTACAAATACCGCAAGCAGTGGAGCCAAGAAGATAGACCCGACCCACCTAAAAACAACACATCAACGCGTCATCCCATCCACTGCTTGACTTGCTGGCTGCAGAGCAGCGAGGAGGGCGAGGCCGTGTTTAGCGACCGCAAGGAGTTCATCATGATCTTTGCGTGCAGCGAGTGAGTGGTCGAAACGAGACAGACAAGAAAGATGCGCACCCAGATGCAGCCCACATACACATGCCTTGTCTCCATCTTTGGTGGTGTCCATACAGGGCGTTTTGTTTCAACGTAGAGGTCAGGAGCACCTCTGGCGAGACCATCAGCGTCGGCAGCACCCCTTCCATGCACCCCCGGCAGCCCCGGTTGTTGGGCCAAGACCAGCACACCCTCACGAAGACGGTGGACCTCAACCCACGGGTGGACGGTGGGCAGACGCAACAGTGCACCATCCACTACCTGCACCGGCTCCGGTAATTGTTTGTCGTGACGTTTCTGCGTTTCTGATCAATATTATGGCGAGCGAACGGCAGACTGAGCAAAGAGAAAGGGGCCTAGCCCAACTCATTCTTCGTTTCCCTCATTGCCTCGTGTGGGTTGTCTTGGCTTGTGTGGCCTGCCTGCAGTGGGTGTTAGGGACGATGCCTGGGAGCAGCGCCAAAGGGAGTTGTACGAGCAGCTGGACGACCAAACCAAGCACACTGCCCTGGCAATGGTACATACATACCCACGCACAGACGACGGACGGAAGGCAATCAATCAATCAATCAACGGGCCTTAATTGTCTCTCTCTGATGGACACCAGGGCTGGCTGATGCAGTCAGGTTTCTCTGTCGAGTACTCGGTGCCGCTGCGTCATGGCCGCTTCGGGACGGTGGTGCCGATGAGGGACTCTGAGGGCCGGCTGTGGGCTGTCAAGCTGCTGTCGCACGACGAACGGGACGCCAATGCACAACTGGTACGCACCCACCCCCACAGACAGAGAGAGATGGATGCCACACGCACTGCACTGCCTGTGTGTCACCGCACCCACCGATCTGAATGTCAACCAGGTTGACGGCTGGGATGGACGAATGCCGGAAGCGCTACGAGCGGCCCAATGAGGGGCCCCTGCCGCCGTCGACCATCATCAAGTGCCAGGCCGTCTACCACATCCCGCTGCCGTACACGACGCCCAACGGCGAACGCGTCGAGGGAGTTACGGCCCACCAAATGGACTGGATTGACAGTAAGCAGGGCACTCACCGATTGGCCTGCTGGGCTCTTTGCCCGCTGATGGCTTTGGATGGACTGGATTGACAGTAAGCGTGCACCCCTGGAAGCCCGGAAGCCCGGGAAGCTGGGCTCATACCAGCACACCCTCAAAAAGAGACGGTGGACCTCAACCCAACGGTGAAGGACGGGCAGACGCAACAGAAAGTGTGTGTGTACACCACATGTAACGTCGATCGTTGCCTGCATTTTATATTCGAATGGTTGGTTGGCACAAGGAGATGGATGTATTGTGTCTCTGTCTGTGTCTCTGTCTGTGTCTCTCTGTCTCTCTGTTCATGATGTGTGCATTTGTTCTGGTGCCGACTCTGCTACTCGTAAGTTGCTAGTGGTGGACGGCGCTTCGCTGCGGTCAGGTGTGCAGGGTGTATACTGACTGGATGACTGACTGTCTATGTGAGGTCCGGGTGTCGAAGGGAGGAGGAAGGGGATGAAGTGTGCAGCGCAGCGGTACAAGAGAGTGGGTGCCAGAGTGTGTGCATTTGCAGCAGCTGCAACATCGTTGCCTGCATTCTATATTCAGACGTCTCTGTGTCTCTGTTGTCCCGTTACAATCGATAAAGTTGTTCGGTTACAATCATGCGTAATGGGCACAAAAGTCTCACCACACACGCCTCCCCGCCGTCTGTCTGTCCGTATCTACTGTCCCTGAATGACCTTGCCGCGCCATTTGACGCTCACGAAGTCTGCCTCTTTGGCCTGCCACTGCTTGCCCAGGAGATAGAACAGATGCCTGTCCTCCAGCCGCTGCCGATTGAAGGCCTGCATGACGTTGGACACATCCACACACGCCAAGTCGCCCACACGCTCCTACACAGACCCATATACACACGCACTCACACACGCGACGTCACATCCGACAGGCGTCACAGTGTACCTTGATGAAGGGCACAAAGACACGATAGAAGTCAGCGTCGCCAAAGTCGAGGTAGGCCAGCGACCGCAACACAGACGACAACTCGCCCAACGTGAAACTATGACCATGCGCACCAACACCACACCACCACGTTACGTTGTATACATTCTCTGTGGACGGGGCGTGATGTGCCGTGCCAGCAATCCTTACTAGTGGACGCGTTGGCAGATGTGTTCCCCCAGCCTCTCGAGCACACTGAAGCGCTCTCCCTCTTCCTTGGCCTCCAGCCACGGCAGCTTGCGCAACACGAAGAACCGCAGAGTGCGGCCACGGGCATTTTTGGCGCGGGCGGGGGTCTGCCGCCAACTCACCAGACCCTTGTGGTAAAACACCAGGTGGAACGGCTTGGCCAGGTCGGCGTGGAACAGGCGAAACATGCTGCACACGAAAGAGGGAGAATACACACAACGGGGGGAAATGGCTGCATGGTTGTGTGGGGCGGAAGTGGTTGCTGGCTGACCGTCTGGTCATGGCCGTGACGAGGTCCTCGTTCTCAGCGACGAGCCGATTGGTGGAGAGGAAGTTCATGGCAGCGGCGAGCTGCAGGGGGTCGAGCTGCTCCACTGCCTGTGGCTCATGCAGCCGCTTGGCCAGCACCGTCCGCAGTTCACGGTAGTAGTCAGCCCACTCGTGAAACCGAAGCTGCACACGGACCCACACGTGACGAGAGACGGGTTCACCGTGAGAAAACGTCTGTATGGCATGCACTGACCAGGAGAATTGCGTCCATGACGATGGCGATCTGCCCGAGGTCATACTCCACCACCCGCCCCTCCACAGCCTCTGGCAGGTCCCGCCTCTCCTCAGCCAGCCCCGCATTCACCTCCTTCTCACGCCCCTCGTTCATCTCCACTTGCCACCCCTCCAGCCCCTCCTCGCCGCCCTTGCCGGCCTTTTTCCGGATGCGGCTGCCCAGGGGCAGGCCATAGAGGGACGGCAGCCCACAGCCGTACTCGTAGCTGGGGAGGGAGTAGCGGGAGAAGAGTGCGTCTGTCGGGGCGGCCGTCACGGCAAGGTCCTGCTGCTCCACCTGACCCAGGCCTGCACACGGCGAGGCGAGCGCCACACATGCACATGAAAATATCAAGTCTTTGTGTGTCGTCCTGTGCCTGCATCCGTACCTATCTTGGCCTGGAGCCGTTCGTATTCGCCCAGAATTTCCTCAGCCACGGTGCGGAAGAAGGTGGAGTGGCTGAACTTGAGCAGCGCGTAGGTGCGTGCGAGTTTGGTCTTCTCGAAGGGCGTGAGCTTGCCCACATACAGCAGGGGGTGCAGCCGGCGGGCAGCGTGCCGCAGCATCTCGTCGTCCCGCGACTCGAGCGCCGCATAGCTGTGCAGGAGGTCGATCAGGCTGCGGGGGGAGAAGGCCACCGCCTCCTCTATCACCAACTCGGCCACGTCATTTATCAACTGATCGACGCGTCAACAAACCAGACACACAAAGGGTGACTGTCCGCCCCGCCATGTGATCTGTGCTCACCTCTGTTAACTATCTACATGTATCTCACCTGAATGTGTTTGCGGCCGAGTGATGCGAGTATGGTGACGAGGCGCGTGACGGTGTCGGTAGGGAGGCCGTGGAAGTCCTGCCGGCCCCTGCGGATGAGCAGCTGGATCAGGCTGTCTGAACGACAGCTGATCTTGGCGTACGAGTCGGGTCGCCTGACCGATCCGATCCGCACAGACGAAGGATCCACACAAACGTTTGCAGGATCCGATCCTGCATACGACGTTGGTGTGTGTGTGTGTCTACCGATGTTGAGCAGCTGGTCGAGGTGGGTGCGCTCCGCCTCAAAGAGGGGACGAGACGACTCTGTCACCTTATCCCAAAAGGTCGCCTGACAAACAAACAAGGCCCACGCAGCGACAGACAGACAGACACCCATCTGCACTGACATTCGGCCAGCGAACTCCATACCTGATGGAATCTCTTTCTGGCGAAGACCTCGGCCATCCTCTCGTAGTCATCGATGTTGGTCACGCCCCGCCTCCGCAGCTCAGCCGCATACCGTCGCCAGAGGCCCTCGCTCTCCCCTCCCGCCTCATACACAGGGAAATCATTGTTAACCTTGCTGAGGGAGCCGGAGAGGTTGCCGGTGGCCAGATCTTCGAATGCGGGCGCAGCAAAGGCGAACCGATGAAAGTCAAAGTCAGATTGGGCAGCTGCCGCCGGTGATGACTGGCGCCGGACAAACGGCAGGAGGGGCGGGAGAGGCCGGGGCAGAGAGCGGCAGTGCCGTGCTGCTGCGCTCAACGCCTGCATCACGGAACGGAGTTGGTGCAACCCTCGCCATGACCCTCGTAGGGTTTGAGGTCCAGGGTTTGGTCTGCGCGCTTAGCTGAGGAGAGAACCAGGAAAGTGCAGCAACGTCCTGGTAAGATGACGGATAAGGCATTGCTGCCACAGATCCCATATTGAATGAAAAAATGCCCTCTTGCGTCGATGCAGGTGGAGAAGACTCATCACGATGGCGCCTGAGTGTCGGACGTCGCCGCAGATCACGGACACACCAGCAGCATCGTCCCTTCCCCTGCACACCCATCACAGATCAAGCCAAAGCCGCCCATCCCGAGTGAGGCGCTGCACTCCTTTCCTGCCCCTGGCTGCGGCCGCTCTCTGCTGCTTGCTTGGAATCGAAAGAACGAGGGCAGTGTCGTCGTCCTACAACACCTACAAACTCGAGTGCATCTTGCCTGGCGACTCCAGCTCAGGTACAGCACAGCGAGTCAGTCAGCTGGAGGGAGTGTACGTGTAGCGTCTGTGTGTGTATGGCGTGGTTGGCTGCAGGTGCGTGGCGTCACTACGCTGATTTGGAGCTGGTGCGCAGCCCGGTGACAGGAGTGGTGCTCGAGGGAAGCGCCACCGTCGCTGACCCGCCACTCCCACTCGAACACCTACAGCAGACTCAACACGTAAGCAGTGCACACACACCGTGCTGCCCTTCCCCTTAGGGTATCCATTGCTGTGTGTGTTGGCATCAATCGTGCGGTTCGTCCGTCCTTCAGGCTGGGCGCCTGTGGCTGAGCTTTCGCCTCACTCCAAATGACGCCAAGGACGAGAGCATCATGGCATCCACTGCTCTGGTAGATGGTAGATTAAAGACACACAAGCTTGCCACAGGCCCGAAGCTCGATGTCGTGTGTGTCTGTGTGCGTGCGGACATCCTGCTTACAGGACAGGCTGGACCTGAAGGGGAGTGTGGGTGTGCTGAGTCTCCACCTGACGGACAAGGGGTCGCCCATAGCTATGTCCTTCTCGAGCAAACGGGAGGTGATTGAACATATGCACACACACACGCCCCTCAAAGCTTCAGTGAGATGAGATGAGATGGCTGTGTGTGGGGGTGTGGGGTCAGTTCGGGTATGATTTGCTGGAGAAGCTTGAGATCGCTGTCGAAACGCCCACAGAGGCAGACACGTAAGCACGCACACCACACCTGAAAAGAGCGACACATGCGTCCATATCGTGGCTGTGCGTGTGATTGGGTCAGGCCACACATACTGACGGCTCCAAGACCACCCGAAGGTGATTACTTAAGGGTGCTCGGTGACAGCGAAGCGCACCGCACGTCCAGCCGGCGGCTGCCGTGTCTGAACCACTCACTGCTCTGCTGCTGCTTTGTGTGTGTCAGGGGGTGGCAAGGAGGACGGCAAGGAGCAGAAGGAGCCGTCCTTCTTCCAGAAATACGTACGTACCCAAACAGACAGACACGAGGACACTGCACACTGCCTGCCCGGTGACGCTGGCTGATAAACATCTGTGCCTTCCGTTGGATGCTGCAGTGGTGGCTGTTATTGGGTGCTGCGCTGATCCTCAGCCTCCTGCAGCAGCCCGAGGAGGGCCAGGCCGGAGCAGGTAAGGGCCAACCAAACGCAGCTCTTTTGCATGCATAGATCGTTGGATGTTGAATGAATCGTGCGTTTGACTCGCCTGATGTGGGTTGTGTTGGTGCAGGTGGTGGAGGGAGGGGC